CGCTCTTTTCCTTCTCAAAACCTCTTCTCCCTCCTTTTATTCTCCCCATGACCACCGCTGTTGTTTCCAGAGTCTTTACTCAGATCCCTCCTAGTCTTCCCCATATTTTTATCCCTCCTTTCCAACCAGCTCTCTCCAAAGGCTTTCATGTGTGAGAGAAAGATGAATATTCCTCACGAAAAACGGTTCAGGTCAGTGAGCACATGTGGCCGCAGGGATTTTCCGTGGCCCAGCAACGGGGCTGCTGACAGCACCTCTGCTCCCCCCTCTCCGACACTCGGGTTATTTCACATTCCCTCACGCTTCGCCTGCCCTCGTCCTTTCCCATCTCCTGTCCCTAGCCTGCTGATTCAACATAACCTGGCCTCCCGGTAAGCAACACATCCTATGTCCTCCATTATTCACATTAGGGGCTGCCATGGCAACCCAAAGGGTATAACATAAAGGTCTGGAAACCTAAAGGGTGTCGGATACTGTAACTCGGCACGCAAGACGATCTGGTAGGGATTATTATTATTATTATTGAGCTACTGGCATTAAAGTTGTGAGTGAGCGATTTGGCGACTGCATAAATCAGTTTGCTCTGGAGCCATCCTTCCTGAGCTGAGACAGAAAGGTGTGAGCCGGGGGCTAAAAAACTGAGCTAGCTCACACTAACTCAGCTTACAGAGAACCCTGTAGGAGCTCTCTTCTTCTCTCTCTTACGTGGGCTTGGAGCTGCAGCAAGCTAACCTTTTTGAAGTTAATCTGTTCACAGTAAGTTAAATGTACCTACATGAGCATGTCATGCAAGATGTGCTTCTATTTTTGTAAGTAAAGTGCTTTCTCTTGTTACCACGGGAGTCAGATCATCTTTGTGATTTGTTTGAACAGCATTTTCCTCATAACCAGGAAACATGGAGAATCAGGGATACTGGGGCCTCGGTCACGCGAAAGGTTTTGGGCCGGGAGAGGGACGGATCGGGGGCGGAGCAAACGGGCACGATCCCACCGCGACATCTGGGAAACGTGGCGCACCCGTCCCAGATCCGGCCCTTCAGGCCGAAAAGCCGCATCTAAAATAAACCACCAACAGAGGTGGACTTACCAGCAGGGCCGCATCAAGCGCGGCCGTGGGATCACCGCCGCGTCCTTCTGCCGGCGCATCCAAGACCCCTGGCCGAACTGCGCATGCTCACACATGTGCAGTTCGGCAGCCTCCGTCTCCGTCTCGTCGCTTTCTCCCTGGTCTCCCCAGCATCTGATCGTGCTGGGGAGCAACTGCGCGGCGGCTCACGGGATCTGTATGATCCCACCGCCGTGTGTCTATTTTGGTGCGGCTTTCAAAAGCCGCACTTTGCCTGCGCTCCCCCCCACCCCCAATGTGGAAGGGACCTGGGTAAAGCTTCTGTGCTTCCAAGGCAAAATTTATTTTTTTTACATTTAACCCACTAAAGGGAAGCTTCAGAAGAAGTCCTTTTCGGTCACTAGAATGTTGTTGCTCAAACTGCAAGTGAGGGGAGATTGTGTTACCCATGATCCTCCTAATAGTGAGGTCACCATTTTGTCTGAATAGAGTAGTGTGCATATTTGACCATTTTGGCACAGAAATCAAGCTGTGCTGAGAGTATGTATACTCTCGTAATGAAGCTGGGGGGGGGAGACCACACACATTGCCCTAGTCACACAAAATGACGACTGCACAAAGTCACAGGATTGTGGGTAGCGTGATCCTTGACTGATTTCGCACTAGAGCTGCCCCTTAAGTGCAGTTTGAGCACCAAACCTCTAACAACTGAGAAGGGCTACACTTGGATCCCATAAGGCATTTCCATGGACAGAAGGGAGGGATGATACGCACGGATTCCCCCTTCCTGGCAAAGACCTCCAACTAGGATTGCCACCTCTGGATTGGGACATTCCCGGAAATTTGGGAGTGGAGCCTGGGAAATTCACAGTTGGGAGAGGGGAGTTCAGCAGCAATGTGGTGGCATTTTCGAAGCTGCCATTTTCTCCTGGGGAACTGGTCTCCAGCAAAGTTTCTGGTCTCCAGGCAGTTTGGTGTAGTGGTTAAGTGTGCAGACGCTAATCTGGGAGAACCGGGTTCGATTCTCCACTCCTCCACTTGCAGCTGCTGGATGACCTTGGGCAAGCCATAGTTCTGACAAGAGCTGTCCTTGAAAGGGCAGTTCTGGAAAGAGCTCTCTCAGCCCCACCTACCTCACAGGGTGTCTGTTGTGGGGAGGGGAAGGCAAAGGAGTTTGTAAGACGCTCTGAGACTCTGAGTGAAGGGCAGGGTATAAATCCAATCTTCTCTTCTCTCTCTCTCTCTCTCTCGAGTCAGTTGTAATTGTGGGAGAACTCCAAGCCTGAGCTGGCGACTGTTAACCCCACCTCTGACTCTCATGCTTCTCCTGGGAGCCCCCTCTGCCTTAGGACCAGCATTTGGGGGGATCCCCTGAAGCCACAGTAGGATGGGGGGGGGGAAGCAAGGAAGTCTCATTCCACTAACAGAAATCCTTTCCGACAGTAGAGATTTCCTGGAGGAGCCAAGCCACGCCATGTCTTCTCCTTGAACTGCTTCACCTCCTTCTCAAAGGAATGCCACTTCCCAAAGGAAATTCAAAGCAATGGCTTTCTTGTTTCGGCAAGCTTACACCTCTGTCTAAACGGAGAGACTGGACTCTACAGCAAATTGCATATTGGTTGATTTGGTTTTATTTATTTATTTATTTTTGCAATATTGCATTTCCTTGCATGTTTCCTGGCCGTTAGTCACTTTTGAGAGGCCAATAAGACTTGACACAAACGTTCAAATTAAAAATAAATACATGAAATTGAATTAATCTGGTAGGGATATAACCTACACACGGGGAACCTTGAACAGTGACCTTTTAATCAACCGGCTGCCAATAAAACATGCAAAACCGTCATTGTCTTCCCTCTCTCTTCCACACAGTAGCCCACACACTGCCAAGATATTAAAAATGAAACTGCCTTAGAGATCCAAAGGCAGAGTCTATAATCACTCTTTATTGCTTTGTCCCAGCCAATAAGAATATCATTGGTTTCCACTGACATTTTCTTCTTGAGGTTGTATTTCTCACAAGCATCTTGAAATGATACTAAACCTTCAACCACATAGTAGATGGACAGTATCAGAACTACCAGTTGGTTCTGAGCTGTCAGCAAGATTTGAATTTAAAGGCTGCGAATTCCCAAATAAGGTTCTGAACACCCTTCTCAAAGGAAGCTCAAAATTTAAGTTTTTCTCGTTTTGGCGAGTTTAGATTTCCAGCTAAATGGGGAGACAGGTCAGACTGGTTTCAATAGAAAAATTTTACACTAATTGATTTGAGGTTATTTATTTGCAATTGGGGATACTGCATTTTATTGTTTCCCCCCTGCTCTTAGATACCTTTAAAGACTAGTAAGGCAGGATACAAACATTTTGATCACAAATAAATTTTATGGAATTACAGATTGCAGCAGATCTCTGTACAAACTTCCTTTTATCACTATGCCACTCCCTTAAAATCCATATAGTTGTTTTAAAAATAATTTTTTCTTCTTTGAATTTTCAGGACCTTGTACTGTTTGAGTGTCCTGACCTGGATAGCCCAGGCTAACCTGATCTTGTCAGATTTCAGAAGCTAAGCAGGGTGTTCCCTCTAAGCTGTGGAGTCTTGTGAGCAAAAATTCTACTTTGTGAGCCGCTGACATTAGAGTTGTAAGCGAGCGATTTGACTGCTGCACAAATCAGTTTGCTCTAGAGCCCTCCTTCCTGAGCTAAGGCAAAAACGTGTGAGCCGGAGGCTAAAAAACTGTGAGCTAGCTCACACTAACTCAGCTTAGAGCTGAACATCTCCTGCCTTGAAAACCCTACAGGGTCGCCATAAATTGGCTGTGACTTGATGACAAAACAGCAGCAACAACTTTTTGATCACAAACACATGTTGAAACTTTTCCTTCTTTTTAAACCATGAGGAATCCAAGTAATGATCTCAGCTAATTCAAACATCTCCCAGGCTTGCTTTCAAAATGTTCGGTTATTGTTCTGAGCGAAACTCCCTCCTTCCCTGAATGATGGGAAGTTTCGGGGATAGCAGTGCAGGGTCATTTTACTTTTTGAAATATCTGTTTATAAAGACACAAGCTGAATAGGGGGGAACAGATTAACAGAGAGACAGAACGGCACCAGTTCTCCAACAAACAAGGGGTGATTTCCCACAAGCGCTGCTCCGCGCTCACTCCTCCCTTTTGCCCCGATGGTACATGTCAATTTCACACAAGCTGCTGTGTGGCCGCATTTTGCCCCGCAGCTTCGTGCGATTTTCCCCGCGTCTACTCAGTCCTCAAAAAACAGGATTGAGTAGACGCGGGGGAAATC